TCAAACAGCCTGAGCAAGAGCGAGACCCGTCTCTACTATAAATAGAAAGAATAATTGGCCAAATAATATATATAAGAAAAAATTAGCCGGCATGTGGCGCATGCCTGTAGTCCCAGCTACTTGGGAGGCTGAGGGCAGAAGATTGCTTGAGCCAGGAGTTTGAGGTTGCTGTGAGCTAGGCTGACGCCATGGCACTCACTCTAGGCCTAGGCACAAAGTGAGAACCTGTCTCAAAAAAAAAAAAAAAAAACCAGCCTGAGCAAGAGTGAACCCATCCTACTAAATAGAAAAGAAATTAATTGGCCAGCTAAATATATAGAAAAAATTAGCGGCATGGTGGCGCATGTAGTCCCAGGTACTCAGGAAACTGAGGCAGGAGGATTGCTTGAGCCCAGGAGTTTGAGGTTGCTATGAGCTACGCTAATGCCACGGCACTCTAGCCGGGGCAACAGACTGAAACTCTGCCTCAAAAAAAAAATAAAAAGATAAAAAAATAAAAAATTCTAGTGACTAGGCATAGGGAAGTTCCAGTTGGAAGAATAAAGACTTTGATTACTGTGTGTTAAGGTACTATACTAGAAGCTTTTGTAGGTCCAATCTAAAATTCATTTTGTCCCTTCAACTTTCATATTGCCTGTTAACTTTTCCCCTCTACATTAACCAGTAGTCCCCCATTAATACCTCTCCCTTTCTCTGGTCTACAAAGATGAGAGGTACTATAGCCTTTTAATTCCATTCACTTGTGCCTAAGGCTTCCCCTAGGGAGAAGGGTCCTAGGGGAAGGGTCCTAGGATAGGATCCTAGAAGATCCTGCCCTCTTCTAGGATCTTGCACCATTAGTCAAATCTTTCCTCTCATTTATGTTTAATTTTTTATTTATTTACCTTTTAGAGATAGGATCTTGCTCTGTCACCCAGGCTTGGGTGCAGTTGCATGATCATAGCTTGTTGTGAGTCAAACCCCTGGCCTCAAGTAATCTTCCTGCCTCAGCCTCCCAAGTTGCTAGGACCACAGGTGCATACCATCATACTCAGCTAATTTTTTTTAAATATATTTTTTTGTTTTATATTTTAATGTTTTTTTTTTTTTTTTTTAGAGATGGGGTCTTATCTCTTGCTCAGTAGTCTTGAACTCTCTGAACTCAAGTGATCTCCACTGGTTTCCACAGTGCTAGGATTACAGGCATGAGCCACTATGCCCCAATTTTTTTTTTTTTTTGAGACAGAGTCTTGCTTTGTCACCCAGTGGCAGTGCAGTGGCAAATAATAGCTCACTGCAATGTCAAACTCCTGGGCTCAAAGCAATCCTTCCCCTCAGTCTCCCCAAAGTGCTGAGATTACAGGTGTGAGCCACCACAGCTGGCCCCTAAGTTTTATTTTTTAACGAATTGGGTTTTGTATTTGGTCCAGTGCTGGCTCATAACTTTGGGCTCGAGTGAATCTCCCAAGCTCGCCTTTCCACATAGCTGGGGACTATGGGTGTGTGCCTCATTTCCAGCCTATGTTGTAAATTTTTTACTTTATTCTAGATCCTTTTCCCTTTTGTTGACAATGATGCTAAAACAGGGACTGGCAAGAAATACAATCCAGCCCAACACCAGGTTTTGCAAATAAGTCATTTTTCTTTCTTTTACAACCCCTGCCGCCTAACCCAGCGGTCTTGCTCTGTCACCTGAGGCACAGAGTGCAGGTGGTAGGATCATAAGCTCACTGCAGGCTGAATTCCTGGGCTCAAGCAATCCTTCTGCTTCTGCTCTAAGTAGTTGGACTTAGGTGTGTGCCACCATGCAGCTAATTTCTCTACTTTTTGTAGAGACAGGGTTCACTATGTTGCCTGACTGGTCTTGACCTCTTGGCCTCAAGTGATCGTTCCAACTCACCCTACCAAGGTGCTGGGACTGCAGGGTTTAGCCACTGAGCTCAGCCAAAGTTCATTTTCATATTGTCTACAGCTGCTTGCTGTATTCAGACTGTATGGCTCTTTAATAAAAAGGTGCAACTACACTCAAAATCTCTCCTATTATTAAAATATAAACAACTCTCCTACCCCCCTTGCAGACCCTTCCTGATTACACATATTCCTGTCATCCACAACCTCTCCTCAATTCCTATCCTAATTAATTTTTCTCAGCCTCTGTGACCCAGAACTCTCCTACTTCAGACTCTCTCATTAACAAATAAACACCACCTATCTCTTATACTCACCTTTGATCATCATGAATTGGTTCCTGGGACTTTAGAATGAAGCTCTTTCTTCATCTACCCAATTCCCCCACTCTTCTGCTGGTGCATTCCAATCTGAGCTGGGATCAGCAGAAGACAGACCATCTAAATATTAACAGTGTTGAATTAGGTATCTATCATTTCTGCCATTAACTAAAAGACAAAAACTAAAAAATATCTTTATTGAACTAAGATGTAATTTTAAACTATTATTTCTCCCAAGCACATTTAAGAGCTAGAAAAAAAACCAGTAAACATGATGGGTAACAATCTTATTAAATTCTGTTAGTATATTATATGGTTAAATGGAACTTCTGAGAACTCCATGAAAATGTATTATTGGCCATTTAATCCTGTCTCCTACTTTCCTTGTATCAATGAATTTACTACTTTTCCTGTTCATTTTTAATTTGGTCTAGGACCTGGTTATTTTTTGCCCTGATTATTACAACATTTCTGCAATTGATTATTTTCTAGGTACAGAATTAATTTTTAACAGCAGTACCCACATTATACTCTCCACTTGTCATTCACACTCTAACTCTCCCATCCTTATGCACCTTTCAAGATTAGGTTCTTCAAATTCATCAAGTCATGACAGAATATTTAACCTCTTCTTTTCCTCCTCTCTTTTAATACTTCTACCTTCTTATATTTTCAGATTATTCAATGTTCCTTTTATCTGATATTTAAGTTACTTCAAAGATTCAATCATCTTAATATCAGAAATAAGTGTTATTTTGATTTCCAAATACATTTCTTTCACTTTAGGAGCACTGAATTTTTACTTCCTGCAGGAAGTATCAACGACTTACTCTAAAAGGAAAAAATACTCTTTGGCTCTTCCCAGTGTTAAATAAATAGCTCCTAAAATTAATTATTCCCCCTTCCTTGCAAATACTCCCATATACACTCCTGTATATCTACTTATGGTCAGGTTTCATTACATTGGTTAAAAATAAGAGGTTAGGCTTTATTTCCAAATGGTTAACAAGTTGTCCTAACATTGCTTAACTAAAAAAAAAATCAACCATTTCCCACTAACACTTAATGCTACTTTTATTAAATACTCAGTTCTTTCATATGCACTGCAGTCTGTCTCTGGAATTTCTATTCTATTCCACTGATCTATTCCTGGATCGTGCCATACATAATATGAAATGTAATGAAAATGTAATACATTTTCATATCTATAAGGACAAATCTGCTTGCATTACTCTGTATTTTGTTATCTTATTTTCCAGGTGAACTCTATTATTTTTGTTTAATAGGGAGTATTATACATCTCCATGAAGGCTTTATTTTGGAAGAATATATGATGATCTGGGAAAATGCTCACCAAAAAAGGACAAAATTGTCTACACAGTATGATCACAATTTTATGATGAAGAGACAGAAGAAAAATAACACATAATAATATATCTTAATAGTCAATTACAAGAATTTCATCTTTTCAATCCTTATTAAGCACTTACTAGGTATTAGAACTTAAGCTAGGCAAAAATCAGAGTACAAAAATGAGTAAGGTAAAATCCCCTCCACATGCAGGTCATAGTCTAGTCAGGGATAGAGATAGGTAAGTACAATAGACAAGTGTAACAGATTCTGCCATGGGGGCTATGGAAACAGAGAAGAGAAGCTAAACCAGTAGAGGATAGGGAGAGACTGAAGATAAGAATTTATAGTCTAGTGGAGGAAGAACACGGAACAAGTGATACAGTGTGAAATGTGCTCCAAAAAACGATGTCCCTTCCTGTATTTCTAAATTCACTATCATGGGCAGGTATCTGGAGTCAGGATTACACAGTATTAGCATAGAAAGTTAAGAGCATGGGCCTTCGAGTCAAACAGATGTACATTTGAATATTGCTCTATCACTTTTTTTTTTTGCTCTACCACTTTATAACAATGTGATTTTGGTCAAGTTTCTTAATTTTAATGGGATGTATGCCAACTTCATAAGTTGATGAGAGGATTACATAAGATACATGTAAAACAATTCAAAACAATGCAGTTAAGTGTTCAATAAATGGTAGCTTGTTTTTCTTTTTTTTGAGACAGAGTCTCACTCTATTGCCGGTCTAGAGTTCGTGGCATCAGCTTAGCTCACAGCAACCTCAAACTCCTAGGCTCAAGTGATCCTACTGCCTTACCCTCCCAAGTAGCTGGGACTACAGGGCATGCGCCATCATGCCGGCTAATTTTTTCTATATGTTTTTAGTTAGCCAATTAATTTGTTTCTATTTTTAGTAGAGACGGGGTCTCGCTCTTGCTCAGGCTGATTATGAACTCCTGACCTCAAGCAATCTTCCTGCCTGGCCTCCAGAGTGCTTGGATTACAGGGTGTGAACCACCGTGCCTGGCCGCTATTGTTTTTAATATCACTGATAACATAAACCAGTTTCTAATATATCAGGCATATTTAATTAAGAATTTATTTCTTTCCAAATAGCCCATGGGGGAGAAGAATTTATTTCTCACAATCATGATAATCTCTCAATAAGATACACTCAGTATATTTAATATAGAAATCATTTTTACAAATACAAAAGAATCTATTTGCTAATTTTATACAAGCATTTATTTATTTTTGAGACAGAGTCTCACTCTGTTTGCCTGGCTGAGTGCTGTGGCATCAGCCTAGCTCACAGCAATCTCAAACTCCTGGGCTCAAGCAATCCTTCTGCCTCAGCCTCCTGAGTAGCTGGGACTAAAGGCATACGCCACCATGCCCAGCTAATTTTTTCTATATATTTTAGTTGGCCAATTAATTTCTTTCTATTTATAGTAGAGATGGGGTCTCACTCTTGCTCAGGCTGGTTTCGAACTCCTGACCTTGAGCGATCCTCCCACCTCCGCCTCCCAGAGTGCTAGACAAGTATTTATTAACAATACCATCAGGAGATTCAAATGCCAAAGCTGTCATTGGTTTTGCTTAAATCTCACAGATAAGAAACACAGATTTGGAAAACTGTCCATAAGCCTTATCTCTAAGACCTCTTCCCAGAAAAGAAGAAACTATCAAGTGGTAAAAAGTTTAGGCAACTGAATGGGCAATATACTAACATACGATCTATTTTCTTAATTACGGTGGGAGGTGATCAGGGATAAAAATCTAGGAAAGTACTTAGTAAAACTATTTTTTAAAAACACTCAGATGGCCATTAAGTTTGGGAGAACAATTATAGCCTATGGCTTAACTTCTGTAAGAACATTAACAGAAGCATATATTCTCTACTGACTTTATAGAGTCTCGTGGTGATTTTTCCATGCTTATTGATTTTGGATTTTTTTTAATTAAATGGGATCAAATAAAACTACTTTAAAACAATAGATCAGTCATGTAAATCCAAATATAGTCACCAGGAGATGTCTCAATAAATGATTCACTGGCTTAATGTGCCATAAACTTCTTGGACATAGTTCCCTTAAAAATGATACACAGTATAGTTTTCTACATTTATAAACAGAGTAATTTCTCTTCTCAAAATTCTCCCATTAGTTTGCCAATGTCTTTTCAAAGAGCCATACTGGTTTTCTTTTCAAAAGGGTAAGAAATTTGTTCTATTTAATTTGCTTGTGAAATGTTTTAGGCTTAAGCAACTCATCACTGGTCTTTATTTGGTTGTCAGTTGTTTCTTGTCAGAACTTAATTCAACATTAACTTTAATAGCCTTAATGAAATAAAACAATTACATTAGAAAGACATTCTCTAGTGTTTAAACAGACAATATTAATTAACCCCATTGAGTAGACTACTAATTTTGCCACTAGAAGAAGAATATCAACAACAGTAACAGTAACACTGGATATTTACCATGTATGAGGCAGAGTTCTAAGCGCATTATGTGTTTTAACTCATTTAATCCTCTCAACAGCACTGTGGGAAGGGGATTACTGTTTTGATAGATTAGGAAACTGAGGCATAGAATGATCATGTGACCTGCATAAAGGACAAAGGCCAGGAAGCTAGGATTCAAATTCAGTTAGTCTGTTCTCAAAGCTCATGCTCTTAATCACTTTACTATATTGCAGCTAATTCATTCACTTCTGTGTGCCAACAAAAATACAGTTCTATTCAACATTTGATTTTGTACAGGGGCCATAATGACATTGTTCCTTTATGGTCAAAATAAATGATAGATTAATATGTCTTTAAAGAATGTTATCTTTTGTACTTTAGCATCTTAATCTTATACATAAGAACTTAGACAAATTTAATGCCTTTCTGTCAAGATAATGATGCCTATACCTCACACCAGAAGGTCAATATATTAATCGTATCATACTATAAATGTAAAGCTAATGTAATATACTTTATGGATTAGTAATCTCAAATGCTAAATTACGCATTCTATAAATTCAGAAGTAATAATTAAATCCACTGAGCACCAAAAAATAGCTACATTAAAGATGGTAACACAAAAAATAAAATTCACAGAGACAATGAGGTTAAAGAGAAACTTTGGACTTAAAGACCACCAACACAGCATAACAAACTTGAAGAAGATGGTGTACCTGATACATACTACTTTAAATACAGAATGCTGTAGATACATGTTTTTTAAAATTCTTTATTTTAGCAGCCAATCATGTTTTTCATATTCAAAGAATGCTAATACAGATAAAAGTGGAGCTATTTTGTCTCAGCAGGAAAACCTGGAGTTTTGTTAGGTCAATTTTCCTGTTTCAACCCATGGCAGCCCAAGATACTTTATGGCTGTTTTTCTACATTCACTCTTATTATTTAAATAATCACTTATCAATTCTACTCTGCATATAGCTGATAATTCTTCCTAAAGCACAGGTAGATTGTTTCTTCCAAAAATAGCATTTTCACATTCTTGTAATAGCTTGGATTGAGATGATACTTTATATAGTTGGCCCTCTGTATCTGTGGGTTCTGCACACGTGGATTCAACCTTGAATGAAAAATATTTTGAAAAAAAGCATGGTTGTGTCTGTACTGAACATGTACACTTTTTTCTCACCATCATTCTCTAAATAGTACAGTATAACAACTATCTACTTAGCATTTACATTATAATAAGTATTATAAGTAATCTAGCAATGATTTAAAGTATATGGGAAAATGTGTGTAGGTTATATGCAGATACGATAACATTTTATTATAAGGGACTTGAACATCTGTGGATCTGGGTATCCAAGGAGGGTCCTGGAATCAATCCCCCATGGCTACTCAGAGAATGACTGTAATTTACAAAGGGCTTTTAGGTTCATCCATTACTTCATTAAAATCTCACAACCACCTATGGAAGCAGATATGACAGGTTATTTGCTCCATTTTACAGCTCCCAGATAAGTGACAATGAAAGCCCAAGCCATATGAGATACTGTATTTCAGAGTCAGGACTAAAACTCCTATCTACCTTCTAAGCTAGTACTCAAAACTTCCCTAATCTTTAGCCAGCAATTCAAGGCATTTCATAATATGGCCCTCCCTGATCTACATTTCTAACCTCATCTCCCTTAATCTGTGAGAACTGTATTTTAACTACTGTGTTACCTGCTTACCTTCATGATTACTATCATCACTAAGGCTGTACTATGTAGTGGTTAAGAGCATGAACTCTGGAGCCAGACTGGCAAGGTTTGAATACCACCGTCCTCCATTTAACTAGCTGTGTGGCCTCAAAGTTAGATAACTTTTCTTTGTCACTGTTTCTTCATCTGGAAAGTGTGAAAGAAAAAATAAACCTACTTTATAGAATAGTTATAAATATTAGATTATTTAATAAGGTGCAAAAGACTTAGACCAGTGCCTGGCATAGTCCAATGTTTACTTTTATTACATTATTACTACTGAACATCTAGGCAGAAAGCACTGCCCTAGGAACTGAGTGTATAAAAGAATAAAAGATAGTTCCTGTTTACAGAGGGTTTCAATTCCACTTGGAGATATAAAACACATTCTTAAAATAAATGTTTAGAAAGACCAAAATAGTGAAAAGCCTCACAGGTTAACATATAAGTGCTAAGTAAATAGCAGAAAAGAATATGATATAAAAGTTCAGAGAAATGAGTAAATTCTGACATTTGCGGATGTGGGAAAAAACTCCAGATATCTTTTTTTAAAAAATGAAGACAGCATGAACTTTCTGAACATAAAACCTTATTCTTTTTCCCTTTCCTCCTTTATGACTTCCTTTAACCCTCCTATGCTTACATAAGAAACTGGGGTAAGAAAGCTGTTTTCTACCGAGCACAAATATGTGCACACTTCACAAATTCAAAGCCATTCTTGTACATTCTATTTACTCCATCACACTAAAACTAGGAGAAGAAACATTCATTAATTTAAAGCAAAAACTTTAAAAACCAGAAATACTACAGAGCAACTATAAGAAAACTTCATATTTAAATACTGCCTCAGTCATTATGAAAATTTAGTTTTAATTCTACAGATATATTCAATAATCAAGTTTCAAGTAGTACATCTGGTGTATTATTATGACCTTTAAAGGTGAGAAATTAGGATTAAAATTAAAACATAAAGCATGAATTCAGGGTGCTAGAAAGAAAATTCTGAAAAAAAAAAAAAAAAAACAAATAAAAAAACTGATAATTTTTAAAAGGACATACTTAACCCAGACCATTCATCATCGATATAGGGTTGATTACGGCTAACATCCCACTGATAATCAGAAGTGGTAGACTGAGAAACTGGCTCAGCAGTAGACCCTTAAATGAAAAACGAATGCAATAAAATTAAAAAATGGAATTTCCTAATGATCTTTTATAATAATAGCTCTATACTTTGCACACGGAGACTTTATCATTTTTTTAAATTTCTCCTACAAGAAAAAATTCAGACATTAGAAAAAGATTTAAGTTAAAAGGAAAAGTAGAGTTTAGGGTAATTTTAAATTAACTATGATAATCACTTGATCTAATTCATTGATCAGAAATATATTTTTTCCCTAGTACCAATCCATTATGATTTTGTCTTACTATGCTTCAAGGTAGTTAGATATCTACACATTTTGAGAAGTCAAAAAATTTTTTATTTTTAATGGAAAATAATAAAACATAAAAGAAATCTCTGCCATTGATCATTTTAGTCCTGGATGTTCAGGGTATACGTATATCCTCAGAACCCTGAAAAAGAGAACTAGAAAATGTGTGAGTTAGCTAGAACTATCAGGCTAAGGAAAGTTAAAGAAACAGGTAATTATCTAGACAGGTGAGGCAGAAAGAAGCCAAAGAAACAAAAGAGTTGCTGGAGGTTTAGAGACTGAATTCAGGTACATTTAAAGAGAACAGAATATTTTCTTCTAAGTTTTGTCTGTTTTTTTTTTGTGTGTGTGTGTGGCAGGGGGGAAGCAGGTGGGGTGAGAGTGGGTTCACACAGTCCTTAGGAATCTGATAAATGCTATGGAGGCCTACTTCCAGAACTTAAATTTTGCACACAGTCTTTGCAGCATATCAGTTCACAGATGCCAGGTCAAAAAGCCTTGTTCTATAGACATAAATTCATTTTAGATTGTAAGTGTAAAGCAGTGGTTCTCTATCAGGTATATATATACCCTAGACCTTCTGAATCAGACTTTCCATGTATACTGCAGTCCTTAGATGACTCTGATATTCACTTTGGATTCAAAGCCACTGATATGAAGAAATGGTTAAGAAAAGATACATGGCTAATATAAAACTTATATATAATCACTTTCTACCATCAGAGTCCTTACCAATTTATACATTTCTACTTGGCTGTAGATGATCTTACTAGCATTCCACTAATATGATAATTGTCTGATATATATATATATAAAATAGTTATATATTTTTAATGTAAATTTTAACAAATAACAGTAACTTTATAAAATTTATATATAATTAGTATATTAGTTGCTTAGAAGCACTATTGTCAATAGTGGTGCTATTCCTTTCACTAAAGGTATATGCTGCTTTCTCTGCATATATGAAGAGAATAGCATCTGTGTTATACAAAGTCACCAAAAGAGGGAGACAATGAACTTGTGCCTCTGGAACTGAAATGTGGTCTATGAGATTAGGGTTTGGCAATCTGCAACCTGTAGACCCAAATCCAACCATCCAGTTTCTGCATGACTCATAAGCCAAGAATAGTTTTTATATTAAAATTTTTTTCTTTACATTAATAGATTTAGAGGACCATTTTTAAATGGGAAAAAGAAAAGAAAAGAAAACAAAAAAATACCAAAAGAATTATTTTGGAACCAGACACAGTCATTTGCTTATATATTGTCTCTGGCTGCTTTCCTATTACAATGGCAGAATTAAGTAGCTGCAAACAGAGACAGTACGGTCCACACAGCCCCAAATATTTACTATCTGGCCCTTTAAAGAGAAAGTTTGCTGACCTCTGTTCTAGGCCATGATTCTAGATACTACTGAACTACACAATTAGTAAACTGAGTCCGTGAATTCCAATGTGAACCAGATACTGCAAACTAAACAATGTCTACCACATTTGTGTAATATTTGTTATACATAGCTTCTAGATGATTAATAAGTGGCATATGCATTTAAGTAATGCTGAACTGAAAGAAGTTGTGTATTTTGTGTAATTGTGTATTTTCTAAATCAATGGATACTCAAAAGTAGAGTTTTTAAGCAGAGGTCCACAAAATCTGACATGCTTAGCTAGAAACTCATGATAAGTAAGGATGAATAAAAATAAAATGCCAAATTGCAACTAGAAGTATGGTAGGAGTATACTACCGTGTTTCCCCGAAAATAAGACCTATCCATAAAATAAGCCCTAACAAGATTTCTAAGCATTTGCGTAATATAAACCCTACCCCGAAAATAAGACCTAGTGATGGGCGTGGCTATGCAGCGTAACTGCACAACCCATGCATTTCATCGCAGAGCAGTAAAGAAGATGAGCAGCCCTTCTCATCTGCCCCATCCCAGAGGTGACCGGAAAGGTGCAGGCAGCCCCACCAACAAGGTCAGCTCCCCCTGTCAGGTCCCAGCCATCCTGTGCGCGCTGCAAGCTGAGGCTTTGAGGGGAAAATAACACACCCTCTGAAAATAAGCCCTAGGGTGCCTTCTTGAGGAAAAATAAATATAAGACCCTGTCTTACTTTTGGGGAAACACGGTAGTAACAGAAAAATTATGACCCATGAAGGGAAGGCCTTCCATACATATATACCTATGTGCCAATGAATTGTGTGATCTCTGGCCACAGATTTTTTTCTTTACTTTCCTAAAGAAAGGAACTAAGTCACTTGTGCATAAGAATTTAGGTCTTCTCTCCCCTCTTTTTAAAGGCCTCTGCCACTTTATGTATCTATTACTTATGTTGCTAGCAATATTTGTTGCAGATGAGTTTTTCAAATAACAAGCACTAAAATTAATTTAAACAAAATTTTTTGGTTAACTAAATGAAAGACTGTTTTCACATACCAGAAACAGCAGAGTTAAGTGTGAGAGATGCAAAAGAAGCAGAATTCTGTTCAGAGGTATTCATTCCCCTATCCACACTAGACCAAGCAGCTGTTAAAATAAAGAACGTCACTTGGAACCTTCAATTTGCAACGAGACTTGAAAGATATGTATAGATTTAAAACTATGATAACAATATTTAAAGATAACCTTAGAGATTAGAACCACTTAAGATAGTAATAGCCAACTAAATATTTATTGAATATCCATTATGTGGCTGGGCCCCTTACACCAGCCACTTCCAATTCTTATGGCAACCCTGCTAGGCAGTTTCAAGCAGTTAAGTGACTTGCTGATAGCTAGAAAACAACTGGAACTCAGGTCGATCTTCAAAGTCTATGCTCTTTCCACTATATCAAGCTACCTTATCATCAATCATAATTAAGCAACTACTTTGGGCCAAGCACTGAACTTGGTACTTGACATTCATTATAACCAATCCTCATAATTATTTAAATATGAGGTCATACAGGTTAAATAACTAGCCTAAATGTCCATAAAAGGATTCATACCTAATAGATCCGTCTGAACTAGTCCCTGCTCATTCCTCTATACCATGCTATCTTCTCAATACTTTTAAGACATTTCTTTTTTATATATGAGTTATTTTAAATAAATCTCCATGAGACTAGTCAACCTGTCTCTTCTCAGTGACCCATTGAAAACCTAATACAGTTCCCTTTCAATTTCAACAAAGGTCCTAATCCATCTAGGCAAGAACTTTAACCTGCTGCTTAATTTAAATTGTAGCAAAATTAAGTAAGTACCTTCTAATGTATGTCCTAATTGTGAAACACTACATAGCTTTTATAAATAAACTGAAAATATCCCAAAAGGTCACAGTTCCTAACATTACTCCATAAACTTGACCATTTCTTTTACAGCACAAAAATTCATGCTTTTTTCTCTGCTAAAAATGAGAATGGGGGCCAGGCACAGTGGCTCACGCCTATAATCCTAGCACTCTGAGAGGCCGAGGTGGGAGGATCGCTCAAGGTCAGGAGTTCCAAACCAGCCTGAGCAAGAGCGAGACCCCATCTCTACTAAAAGTAGAAAGAAATTAATTGGCCAACTAAAAATATATAGAAAAAATTAGCCAGGCATGGTGGCACATGCCTAGAGTCCCAGCTACTTGGGAGGCTGAGGCAGAAGGATTGCTTGAGCCCAGGAGTTTAAGGTTGCTGTGAGCTAGGCTTATGCCATGGCACTCTAGCCTGGGCAACAGAGTGAGACTCTGTTTCAAAAAAAAAAAGAAAAACAAAAAAACAAAAAACAAACAAAAAAAATAAAAATGAGAATTTAGGGAATGTTTCTTTCAAACAAATTTTGATACTTCTATATCCAATTTTTGGACATGGCAGGAGGATTTGGAGAGTAAGCTTAAAAACAGTACTAGTAAATTATATCTACAGTTTGATTCTTGAGGGTATTAACCTTTAAAAAAGTGATAAGGAGCGAGGTGCAGTGGCTCACACCTGTAATCCTAGCACTTTGGGAGGCTGAGGAAGGAGGACTAAGGCCAGGAGTTCAGGACCAGTCTAGACAACACAACAGGACCTGTCTCTACAAAAGAATAAAAAAATTAGCTAGGCATGGTGACATGTCCCTGTTGTCTTAGCTATTTGGGAGGCTGAAGCAGGAGGATCACTTGAGCCCAGAAGTTCGAGGTTGCAATGAGCTATCATTGTGCCAATGCACAAGTCACTAGTCTGGGTGACTGAGTAAGACCCATCTCTATAAATAAATAAGTAAAAATGTGATAGGAAAAGCTGACAACAAAGAAAGAAACATTTTTTTCACTAAACACTACAAACTTTCTAGTGTCTATTCTCCTAAATTAAAAGAAATAAACAAAAATATCTGCAATAAGCACAAGAAAAAAACCTATATTTAACACACAAGAAATTATTATGATAAAAAAAATACAGTAAGAGGTCATTAGACAAATGGGCAAAGAACATGAATAGACAATTCATACAAGAAACAGAAATGATCAAGAAAGTTGTAGAGAAAACATAAAATCTCATTAGTGATTTTAAAAGTTAACCAAAACAATTTATGCATTTTTTGCTTATCAAATTAGAAAAGATTAAATAAAAACATACTCAACCTTGGTAAGCACATGATAAATGGGCACTTATACTGATGCTGAGAGTATAACTTAGAACAACTCTCTTAGGAAGCACTAGACAATATGTAGTAGAGCATTATAAACATCCGTATTCCCTTTAATCACTCCTAAGACTCTGTCCTAAAAACAAATACATTCAATGCAGTGTTATCTACAATGGTTTAAAAAAAGAAAAATAATTTCTCCAATAATGTGTGAATAGTTAGGTGAATTATGGTATGCTTACACATTATATGGCCAATATATAAAAATATAAGCAGTGAGGAAAATGTTTTGTTACAATGTTAAGGGGTGGAGAAGGAATATAAAAATGCATACCCAATTTGAGTTATGCCAAAAACAAAAAGCAAAAACAAAACTAAACACAAGAGAAGGGGAAAAAACACCATAAAGAACTAAGAGTGGTTGTCACTGGGTGGTACAATGGTTACAATGGGGTTTTCCTTATTTTTTTTTTGCAATTTTCCACATTTAACACAGATTTCTTTTCCATAGTACACACACACCTGAAAATTAAGTTGCTTTTAACTTGATGGCTCTCAACTGAAATAAGCTTCTCAACTACTGTTCTTTTTTTTTTGATAGAACAGGTTTTGGATCAACTACTGTTCTTTATCACTAAAATTCAGGGGAGGCTGTCGTGGTGGCTCACGCCTGTAATCCTAGCTCTCTGGGAGGCCGAGGCCGGCGGATTGCTCGAGGTCAGGAGTTTGAAACTAGCCTGAACAAGAGTGAGACCTCGTCTCTACTATAAATAGAAAGAAATTAATTGGCCAACTAATATATTTAGAAAAAAAAATTAGCTGGGCATGGTGGCGCATGGCGCATGCCTCTGTAGTCCCAGCTACTCGGGAGGCTGAGGCAGTAGGATTGCTTGAGCCCAGGAGTTTGAGGTTGCTGTGAGCTAGGCTGACGCCACGGCACTCACTCTAGCCTGGGCAACAAAGTGAGACTGTCTCAAAAAAAATAAAAATAAAAACCAAAAATTCAGGGGAAAATTTAATTATAAATAGGTACTTTGCAGACTAATAAATACTCTATGAATGAATGCTATAAACTGTACTTCCATTTACTATTTTATTTAGAGTCATTAGAACTGTTGAAATTAATCAAAAACCCTGTTCACACATTACATGTATCACATCACTAAGAATACACTATATACTAGTTAGCTACATTGATAATCAATACGATAAGGTAGTTAAAGCACTAGGTAAAGAGTAGATGATAAACTTGTTATTTACTTATTTAGTTCCCACTTTGCTCCATGAAAAGGATCTGAGGTTAATTATTCCTATAATATTATTTCTGTATGACATTACTAATTTTTCTATTCATGAGTATTCTCTTCCTGGAAATAAAAAACGTACAAACAAGATTAGCAATTTCAAATGAACTTAATTTTCCAACGCGTTCTACCAATGTCAGAAAATATTGAACGGTCACTCCAATTCCTTCCCCAGTCTTTTCCATTGAATTAGCACTCCCAGTGTCTTGACTCCAAGCAGATGGCTCAGTTTTCCTCTTGCCTGCAGAAGCAGGTGAAACAGAGTTCCATTTCTCTCACCTGCCACTGATCTGTGAGGAGGGTTTATAGACTTTTCATTCCAGCCTCCTCCATTGACAGTGAGGTTTTCATTCAATCCTGAAAGAACTTAAAAAAGAAATAAAGATTAAAACAGGTACATGACTCTTGTTAAAAGTGGGATATTTAAAAATGTTATGACTCTTCAACTTAATTTATCATTCACTCCCCTATGTCTTTAAATACCTTGAGCTTTAAAGATAAAATACATTTTAAAGTGACATGATCACGTAGATGCCTTAAATTTAATCAGAGGTGAAGGTAAATATAGTAGTGAAATTTTCAATAGCAGAACGACTGCTCAAAGGAAGTACAACAGAGCAAACAGAAAAATGACACATTCTGGAACACTCAGAATACTCACACCTAAGAATATGAGACTTCTCCTTAGATACATGTCTTTCCTTAAATGTTACATATATTATGGATGAGGCAGTGATTATTATTATTGTTTATTTTGAGACAGAGCTCGCTTTGTGCCCAGGCTAGAGTTGAGTGCCATGGCGTCAGCCTAGCTCACAGCAACCTCAACCTCCTGGGCTCAAGCGATCCTTCTGCCTTAGCCCCTGAGTAGCCTGGACTACAGGCATGCGCCACCATGCCTGGCTAATTTTTTCTATATATATTAGTTGGCCAATTAATTTCTTTCTATTTTATAGTAGAGATGGGGTCTCGCTCTTGTTCAGGCTGGTTTCGAACTCCTGACCTCGAGCAATCCACCCGCCTTGGCCTCCCAGAGTGCTAGGATTATAGGCATGAGCCACTGTGCCTGCCCTAAGGCAGTGATTCTAAAAGCTGGATGCACATCAAAATCAACTGAGAAATTTCTTAAAAACAGACTCTGGAGCCTTAGCCCAGACCAATTAAAATCAGAATCTCTGTGATGGAACCCAGGCATCAGTATGTATGTGTGTGTGTGTGTGTACACACGTTTCTTTTCATATGTGTGTGTACGTGTTGTTTTTTTAAAGCTTCCTAGATGATTGTGATGTGTAGCCAGGATCAAGAACCATGGGCACAAAGGAAGCTACCAGTGCTAAGAACAAGCCTGAAACAAGAAAGTGCTTTTTTCATTTCTGAATTTATGTTTTACTATAACACTTTTGTTTTCAGGTCAGCAATACACTATTTAATTCAATCTCTATTATAAATGAGTAAATAAAATATATTTTCTATTTGTGAAGCACTAAAAAAGCTCAAACTATAGTCCATTTATTGTGAAATATTTGATACTGTATCAAGGAAACAGTTTAAAAATTATAGGAACTTAGGCTTTTTCTTAACATGTAAGAGTAAAGTCTTTTATCTCATATACCTATATTAAACCCATGTCTAACAAAGATCCTTCTTCTCTACTGGATTAAGTGATGTAAGCAAGAATCAAAACGGCATATAAACTATTGCTGAAAGAATGTTTTTATATGTGGGGGGGGAAAGACTAGAACATACCAAAGACTGTTAGAAGTAGGTGTGATTTTCTTTTATTTTCCAAAATCCTGGACTATGATTATGTTACTTTAGTAATGAAAAATCATTTTTAAGACTTTTTCTTTCCTTTTGCATCATTCATATGAGGAAAGAGACATGTATATAATTTTCTATTTTGATGGGCCTTCAATTTAAGTTACATGTAATTTCTCTCACCCTGAAGTGTAGAATCTCCTTTTCCAGACTTAAGGTTGCTAACTTGAACATTTAGATGAGAATCACCTGGTTGAAATAGAAATAAAATTATTTAATACTAAATAGGGCACTATGCACATTAAATTAGGAGTAACATACAAATTAATTTTTACTTATTATCTATAATAAATTGTTCCTTCAAGTGCTAAATTCTTCCACTGGAAAAAAGTCAATTTTACAACATATTTCACATGTCTGTAACAAATTGAGTTCTCTAGTTACCACATTCTTAGTCAACTAAAATGCCAATAAAGAACCTGGAAAACTGCCTAAGTACAGATAGAGTTTGCTATTCTATAACAGTTACCACGATTCTTTTAAGTAGGAACTGGAGCACTGGGCTCTGTAATTGGATTCAACTTTGCCACCTCTCAACAATACCAGCTGCCTTTTCAACAATCCTGGAAGCAAACACATCAACTTAAGAAAGACCTTTGCCAGTATTTGGGACCAGGACTTAGGAAATATGGCAAGAGGTGAAAATATATAACACAAAAATACTATTTCTCTGACACTAAGAAGCATAATGATCACAACACATCAAAAAAACAGCATGACATATGATTGTGCTAGCATGGAAGGCATGCACAAGACAATGAAAAAGAATCTCCAACAAAAATACTAAAGCAAAGCTAATATGTGACAATGAAAATGGATTCAGTAGAAGTCATTGCTGTAACATGGCAATAAATTCCACCAAATTATCAAGCAAAACAGTAAAAGGTAACAAGGCTAAGAAAGTGAGATCCAGAAATAACTGAAGGATGGGGAGGTGGGAAGGTCATTAACAAAAAGATGAAGGAAGGATAAGCCAATGCATTGAGGCAAGTTGAATAGTATCACTTTGCAGATGCCAGGGTAAAAATGATGGCAATGTAAAGAGGTACCAAGAAGCCATCAGTATTGGATAGTATGAACATCTGAAATACTTGGGAGGAAGAACATTAGCTCACAATCTTTGAAATTCTGGTCTAGCTTTATCAAACACCTATGGCACTCTCAAAAAGCTGGGGGGGGGGGAATAAGAAATCCAGACACAACCTGCACTAACCAGAACATGCTTGTTTCATCTTTAAATGAAAGCGTACAACATGCAGAATAATGATAAATTATTTCATTTAGTAAATGTCTTATCCACTGTAAGAAATGGAGATGCAAGAGAGTTGGGGTAAAGTAATACACACGAGGAAAAGAGGCAACATCATTTTCTCATGTGACTCAAGGCAGAAAGGCAAATTTTAATAGGCCATTTATTAGGCAATATGTAACACGTAACACTGCTGGTATTAGGTAGACCAATACATGGTTCACAATACTCTCACGAAGAAGGGTATATCAGCACAATGATGTTAGCAGTTCAAAATAGGTTTTGACATAATATTATGTACATCTGAATAAAAGGAGTTTGATTTGATGTACCACTCTTATGTTCCACTAATATACCTTTATTCTTCTTGGAACCAACAGGAAATGATGCAGTTGTAAGTTGCTCGGTGGTAATTGTGATGGTATTTTCTATCCCAGGGATAGTTGAATCCAATGAACCAGAATCAGTCATCACCTTATCACGTTTACGCTGCTGTCGTTTCTCTCTGTGACTAATTTTAGTTTCCCAGGCTCCTGACATAGCCCCAGAAAAAAAATGTTATTCAGTAAGGGGAAGACAAAAAAGTTGTAGTTTTGGGGGGAAAATGGGGTGGAGCACACAAAATATCATGATAAATTTAGATATTAAGCTAAAAACCAAGAGTGCTGATTATATTAATTTATCCTAAAAATTTATTCTAATCCCATTATGTTTTAGGCAACAAACTGCTATTATTGATCCTAGTAATTTTTATCAAATCCTCCCTCTGTAGTTTAGAGAAAGTGACAGATGTAAGTCATCTTATATCTTTTATCTTGCTGGGAGAAGTGATAGGAGAGTGTTATGTAATCACTAATAAATGGCTTCCTGAAGAATTTTGTACCTGGCCTTCCAGGAATGGTATGTTTAAGGATAATGGGGCAAAAAATCCAAAACACACTTCTGGGAAACGAAGACAAGTAGCTTTTCAATTGCTCAAAATATTGAGTGTGACCTTACATTTCAATAAGGCAGTTCCCCTCAGAAAAAGCACTATTGGATCCTTAACAAAAGTGTTTCCTAACGATGTCATAGATTTGTACATTAAAATCTACCGTAATGAAAAAGAAGAGCTAGATACAAAATTAAGTGAAACAAATGCAGCTTTTATATAATACACCTTGGTAAAAAAGGATTAAAATTTTTCTACAGTCCTTTCCCTTGCTCAAGTACCTTCATCAACTTCCTTTCCATCATGGCGTGAACTGTTCTGCACTGCTTTAGCATCTGACTTTGATTTCTTCTTATTTTTCTTTGACTGAAAGTAAAATAGAATGTTACTTAATATTTCGTTGTTTTTGAAAAGGTAGAGTCAGTAAAATACATAATGAAATGTATGATGCTGACAACTAAAAAAATTTAATGTTTGATTAAAAAAACTCAACATATTAAGTAGCAGTAATAATATAGTTACCATTTATTGACTGGTTACTATGTGCTAATTTGCATTTTCTATTTATTCCTTTAAAAAATGGTACTGTCCCCATTTTAGAGACAAAATGGAAACTTAGCGATGTTAAATATTATTAATAAAAAGGCTGTCCTGGGTCACATTTAATAAATTAAGTTATAATTAGGAACTAGGTCTGTCTGACTCCAAAGTCTGTGCTCTCAGACATCATGTTATACTAAGTTACATCATAAATAAGGTACTGTACTATGGCATTTTCAGAGCAATAAAATTAAAACCTATTGCCACTGTTCAGAAGGAAAATGATGTACCGATTATTGGTTTTTGGATTACCTAAAGCAGATAGTCAATGCAACCTGTGTATAACAAATTAATGAGTCAATTATATAAAGTTGGTAATATTTTATGAATTTCAAAGCAATGTAAAAATACCTGGGAGTTGTATATTGATATTTAATAATCCTATAAAGATAAAATACCTATACATATACAAGATACAGACATTTTGGAAAGACTTTCCAACTCCCTTCAGCTAATATTATTTTTTTCAAAAGCTTGCTAAGAATTCTATAAAGCAATGATTTCTATATTTATGTAAGTGCTTACAGAAGAGAATTAACATTCATAAAATAATGTTTTTATTTATAATTTGTATTCACTCATTTTAGCTATTTATTGAGATCAACTATGTTCAGCTTAAAGTTAAGTTTACAACTAAATAAGAGATTGTATCTTAATTATAAGACTTTTGTATGAGTAAGCAATAATGGCAGCTAATTGCTTTTCCTATCAATAAACGACTTGTAAATATTTTCAAGTGGCAAGATCTCTTAAATATAATTAAAAATTGTCTTTAACAAGGGAGTACATAAAAAACTATTTTTGAAAGTTCTTTTACTGTGCTCATAATTGATTTGCATTTATTTGTTTCCTTGCATATTCTTGTTATCATTAACATGTACCATGTTTCATACATACTACTTTATTATATCTAACAAACCAGACTCATATCCACTTTCTAAAAACTGAAATATCATCCACTCCATAATATTCACCCTTTTAAAGTGCACAATTCAGTGGTTTTTAATATACTAGAAGTTGCACAAGTAACATTATTTTCTTTATCCCAAAGAAAGAAACTCTAATCATTAGCAATCACTCCTTATGTCTCTTTTCCCTGCTGGCAATCACTAATCTATTGTCTGTTTCCATCATATCTACTCTTAAGTAAAGACAACACATCGAACATCTGTCAATAATAGTCTAGAGCAGGGGCAGCAAACTTTTGTAAAGGATCAAATAGGAAGTATGTTAGGCTTTGTAGGCCATATGGTTTTGTAGCAACCACACAACCCTGCCTCTGTAGCATGAAAGTAGCCATATACAATACATAAACAAACGGGTTCCACTACATTCCAATAAATTTTATTTATAAAAACAGTCATTTGGCTGGATTTAGGAAACCAGAGTTTGCTATCCCTGGTCTAGAGTGCTGCTGGTCAATGAAATATAATGCAAACCAAATATATAAGTTAAAAATTTCCAGTAGATACGTTTTTAAAATGTCAAAATAGGTGATATTAAATTTTTTTTTTGAGACAGAGTCTTGCTCTGTTGCCTAGGCTAGAGTGCCATGGTGTCAGCCTAGCTCACAGCAACCTTAAACTCCTGGGCTCAAGAGATCCTCCTGCCTTAGCCTCTGAGTAGCTGGGATTACAGGCATGAGCCACTATGCCAGGCTAATTTTTTAAATTTTTATTAGAGACAGGGTCTCCTTTGTGCCTGATTTCGAACTTGCTGGACTCAAACTCCTGACCTCAAGTGATCTTCCCATCTTGGCCTCCCAGAGTGCTAGGATTACAGGTAAGGGCCACTAGGCCCGGCCAGGTGATATTAATTTTTTTTTTTTTTTTTGAGACAGAGTCTTGCTTTGTTGCCCAGGCTAGAGTGAGTGCCGTGGTGTCAGCCTAGCTCACAGCAACCTCAAACTCCTGGCTCAAGCAATCCTTCTGCCTCAGCCTCCCAAGTAGCTGGGACTACAGGCATGCGCCACCATGCCCGGCTAATTTTTTCTATATATATTAGTTAGCCAATTAATTTCTTTCTATTTACAGTAGAGACGGGGTCTCGCTCTTGCTCAGGCTAGTTTCGAACTCCTGACCTCGAGCAATCCACCTGCCTCGGCCTCCCAGAGTGCTAGGATTACAGGCGTGAGCCCCTGTGCCCAGCCTAATTTTAATAATGTATTTAACACAACATATCTAAAAATGCTATCATTTCAACATGTAACCAATATTAAAAAACTCTTAATAAGATAGTATAAAAAAGAAGTTAAGCTAAGTTTGAAATCTGATGTGTATCTTACATTTAACAGCAATGTCAATTCAGACTAGTCATATTTCAAGTGTTCAATATCCACCTGTCAAGTGTTTACCATATGAACAGGTCTACAGGAACTAACTAAAGTGGGTATCCCCATTTTACAGATAAGGAAACTGAGGCCTGACCTCAATTGTTTTGCTCCAGCTCAAGTTCTACTCCCTTTGCTTTATCACTATTGCTTTCCCCATTTCCTTTCTCTTAAATATAAGCATCTTGAAACATTAAAACTGTCACAGACTTGGCCATTTGTCACAAACTTCCTGGGGAAACTTCCAGTACTATTATACCTTCCCATGTGTGCAAGTGTTCATAGTTTATCTAACAATAATGTGAAATTCTCGAAAGCAAGAGAATAAGAGATATTTCACTATATTCTCTAGACTCTCTACTTTATTTGAATATAGGCCATCCCCAGGTTATGGATGAGATACGTTCCTGAGAAAATCTTTAGGTCAGATTTGCATGTAACTCAGATTCCTGGTGAATACTACACATACAGCAATAAAACAACAATACTATAATGGCTCATATGTGGTAATAATAATAGTGTAATACTGTAATAATAATACCCTGTACTGTAATAAGTTACAGAAACTACTGTGCTCTTTTTTTTAATTCAAACGAACGGAACATAAAAACAAACTCAGACAAAAAGTCCAGATAGGAGATAAGAGAAATTAAAGGTTAATAACCCTCATCTAATGTTGCATCAACGCCAAGCTAACAGGAATATCACACTTATTTTGATCTTCTAACAAAATCAATAATAACCTTTCTTATTTATTTATTTATTTTTTTGAGACAGAGTCTCACTTTGTTGCCCAGGCTAGAGTGAGTGCCGTGGCGTCAGCCTAGCTGACAACAGCAACCTCAAACTCCTGGGCTCAAGCAATCCTGCTGCCTCAGCCTCCCGAGTAGCTGGGACTACAGGCATGTGCCACCATGCCCGGTTCATTTTTTCTATATATATTAGTTGGCCAATTAATTTCTTTCTATTTACAGTAGAGACGGGGTCTCGCTCTTGCTCAGGCTAGTTTCGAACTCCTGACCTCGAGCAATCCGCTCGCCTCGGCCTCTCAGAATAATCTCTGAATAATTAATCCACTGTGCTGCTTAGTAATTGATGCTTTCAGTGGAGCACTGCCTTTCACATGTTCCATTATTCTCACTTTATCCTTCATAATTGTTTCAATAGTCCAACAATTGAAGCCTAATGCTTTCTCACTGAATTATGGTGTCTGGCCTATCTCTAAAGGCTTAATTATTTCTACTTTTGTTTCCATTGTAATCAATTTTTTTCTTTTTTTTTTGAGACAGAGTCTCACTTTGTTGCCCAGGCTAGAGTGAGTGCCATGGTGTCAGCCTAGCTCACAGCAACCTCAATTTCCTGGGCTCAAGCAATCCTCCTGCCAGCCTCCCGAGTAGTTGGGACTACAGGTATGCGCCACCATGCCTGGCTAATTTTCTGTATATATATATTTTTAGTTGGTCAATTAATTTCTTTCTATTTTTAGTAGAGACGGGGTCTTGCTCAGGCTGGTTTCGAACTCCTGACCTCGAGCAATCCGCCCGCCTCGGCCTCCCAGAGAGCTAGGATTACAGGCATGACCCACTGCGCCCTGCCTGTCTTCATAGTTTTCTTTTCTTTTTATTTTTTGAGATGGAGTCTTGCTCTGTCACCCAGGCTGGAGTGCCATGGTATCAGCCTAGCTCACAGCAACTTCAAACTCCTTAAGCAATCCTTCTTACCTCAGCTTTCTGAATAGCTGGGATTACAGGGGCACAACACTCGGCTAATTTTTCGTAGAGATGGGGTCTCGCTCTTGCTGGTCTCAAACTTGTGACCTCAAGTGATCCTCTCACCTCAGCCTCCCAGAGTGCTAGGATTATAGGTATGAGCCACTGCGCCCAGCCAGAAACAACAAATATTTTCCCATAATATGTCTTTCTTCATTTAAACAAGAAACCTCAAGAGAGGCATCTACTCTAAGTACTTATAAATATATTTAGTAAAGTTCTATTATATAGAATAATGCATAAACAAACATCTCTAAAAAAACTATTGAGGTCAGCCTTCACATTGTAAATGTTTAGATATCTTGCTAAATTGGGATAGTTTAAGATTATCATTAGCTAAAATTGAAGGCACAGTGTAACTGGCCAAGGTTTCTTATCAAAAGCAGATAAAAGGCCAGGTGTAGTAGCTCACAGCTGTAATCCTTGTAGGTTTCTCACCTGGGAGGCCAAGGTGTTTAAGACCAGAGAGATCAGTTGAGGCCAGGAATTTAAGACCAGGCTTAGCAACGTAGTGAGACCCCTTCTCTACAGAAAAAAGAAAAATCAGCCAGGTGTGGTGGCACGTACCTATAGTCTCAGCTACTCAGGAGTCCAAGGCAGGAGGATCACTTGACCCCAGAAGTTTGAGCTATGACATCACTGCACCACTCTAGTAGCCTAGGAAACAG